CTGGGTGGCTTAGTCGGTTAAGTGTCCGACTTTCGCTTAGGTCATGATCTCGCGGTTCGTGGGTTCGAGCCCCGCGTTGGGCTCTGTGCTGACTGCCAGCCCAGAGCCTGGAGCCTGTTTCAGAGTCTGTATCTCCCTCTCTCTCTCACTCCCCTGCTCACGCTGTCTCTCTCTCTCTCTCTCTCCTAGAAAGAAATAAAACATTAAAAAAAAAAAACCTTATAAAACAAAAAGTGAAAATATGATGTGAACTAGAGATGAGATCATGAGGTGAGCAGCCTTCATCTCCGTGTTGAGGAGTGGTACAGAAGTGACAGCCTTGCAAGAATCAAAAGTTTAGGGTCTTAGTTTTTTTAAATAAAATGAAAATCCTGGTTTTTATGGGAAGCCAACTGATGCTTAAAAATTGGTAACTAATTCAAAAAAATTGTAATGGTTTGCAAGCAAGATGCAAACAGTAGATGGCCAGCGTGGGGCCTTTAGCATGAAGTCACATGCTCTGTCAGCAGACTTCGAGCACTAGTGACACCCGCTTAGCATCAGTCCTGCCCAAGGCCATTCTGTCCCCTTCTGCTTAGTGCTAGGAGCCACTCAAGGTGGGATGGCTACTGGCCATACAGACAGTGGACCAGGAATCAGGCTCAGAGCCCATCCACCGTATTCTGACAGTTATTAGGATGGGCAAGTGGGCTCTTGTTTCTCCTCCCTGAGGGGCACAGTGCGTGGGGACGTCACTCCTGACCCTTGGCTCCACTGCTAATGGAAACACCATGGTGGCAAAAGCAAAAGTGAATGGACTGGATCACTGGATGTCTTTGGAAAACCTTGAAAAGAATAAATATATTAACTGATCCATAAAGGAACTAACCGCCTAGGTTAGGAGAAACTGCTTTAAGCCTCCTTGTCTAGAGCTGAAAAGTTGAGAGTAGGCTGCCAATACCCCAACCAAAAAAGGAACTTAACCACCCTGCTGACTTGTTATTTTTAAACACATGTATTACCAGCTCGCCCTGGACTAAGTCCCATTCCTCACTGAAAACAGAGCTGGGGGGTGTGAACCTGACTCAGGCTTCTCTCCACTGTTCAAACTGTTTGCTTCACCCTTTCCTGGTTTCTTAGACTCTAAATGTTAACATTCTTACAACTGTTGGAGGAGTTTGTTTGCCTACCCAGAATAGTCTTGCCTTTGTTCTGTTATAATTTAAGGTATAATAGTCCCCAAAACTGGATTGATTTTTAAATTTTGGTTCCCTGGTCTTACCTTTGGGCATTCTGATTCAATATGTCCGAGATAAGGCTTGGTGATCTATTTTTTAAAATAAAAAGAAAACTTTTTGGTGGTTCAGATATAACTGACCCATGGGCCAGCCATTGGGTACCATTAGACTAGACTGCTTCAAGCTTACATCTAAACAACCAAAGTCCAGGGGCACCTGGGTGGCTCAGTCAGTTAAGCATCCAACTCTTGATTTCAGCTCAGGTCATGATCCCAGGGTTGTGGGATTGAGCCCTGACATCCAGCTCTATGCTGGGTGTGGAGCCTGCTTGGAATTCTCTTTCTCTGCCCCTCTCCCCTGCTCATACTTTCTCTAAAATAAATTTTTAAAAATTAAATGACAATCTTAGAAAAACTGTTGAGATTAGTATTGTGAATCATGTATCTGATAAGTTTGTATAGAGAATATATAAAGAACTCTTAGAAATCAACAGTAAAGAGGGACACTTGGCTGGCTTAGTAGAGCATGCAAGTCTTGATCTCAGGGTCATGAGTTCAAGCCCCACATTGGGCCTGAAGCCTACTTAAAAAAAAAAAAAAAACTTTAAGAAGAATAATAGACAACCCAATTAATAACTGGAAAAGGAGTCTGAATAGATATTTGTCCAGAAAAGGCATACTCATGGACAATAAGCAAATGAAAAGATGCTAACATCAGAGAAATGCACATTAAAACCACAATGAGAATACATTTATAACCACTAGGATGGGTATAATCAAACAACAACAAGGGTTATCAAGGATGTGGAGAAAATTGGAACTTCATAGGAACGTAAAAATGGTATAGCTATTTTGGGAAACAATATGGCAGTTCCTCCCAAGTTTAAACATATAAGTTACCATTTGAACCAGGATTCTACTCCTATGTAAATACTCAAAATAAATGAAAACATGCATCCACACAAAAATGTATATGAGTGTTTATAGCAGTTATTCACAACAGCCAAAAAGTAGAAACAACATAAATACCCAGTCAACTGGTGAATGAAAAAACTAAATGTGGAATAGTCCTACAACAGAATGTTAATTAGCAAGAAAAAGGAATGAAATGCAGGGCACCTGGGTGGCTCAGTCAGTCAACTGTCTGACCTCAGCTCAGGTCATGATCTCACAGTTATGAGTTCAATCCCTGCACTGGGATCTGCACTGACAGTGTAAAGCCTGCTGGAGTTTTCTCTCTCTCCACTTTTCTCTCTCTTTGTTTCTCTCTCTCTCTCTCTCTCTCTCTCTCTCTCTCTGTCTCTGTCTCTCTCCCCCTTCCTCACTTATGCTCTCCCTCTTAAAAATAAATAAACATTTAAAAAATTTTTAAGGAATGAAGTGCTAATATATTCTTCAACGTGGGTGAATCTTGAAAACAGTATGCCAAGTGAAAGAAGGCAAAATGTATGTGATAAGAAGGTCACATATCTCAATCTCTGTCTGAGATGGATGTTCTTTGGATGCATTTAAAAATCCTAGATGTTCATTCCCTGTTTGAGGATCACTTACGACTATGTCCACTTTTACCTTAAGTAATTTGTTTTTTTTTTTAATTGTTCTTTTCTAATATTAAAAAAAAAAATGGTCACAGGTACCTGCCTAGCTCAGTCGGTAGAGCATCCAACTCTTGATCTCAGGATCAAGAATTCAAGCCCCACATTGCGTATGGATCTACTTTTAAAAAGGAGGGGTGGTGCCTAGGTGGCTCAGTCGGTGTCTCACTCTTGGTTCCTGCTCAGGTCATGATCTCATGGTTTGTGAGTTCAAGCCCTGCACTGGGCTCTGTGCTGGCAGCATGGAGCCTGATTGGGATTCTCTGTCTTCCTCTTTCTATACTCCTCCCCAACTTGTTCTCTCTCTTTTTCAAAATAAATAAAAATTTTTTTAAAATCCTATATTCGACAAAAAGTCATATATGACTCTATTTTTATGAAATGACAAGACTGGCCGACTCCATAGAAGCACAGAGTAGGTTTGTGGTTTCCAAGGGCTTACGGGAAGGAGGAGTGGAAAGTGACTACTAATGATCACAGAGTGTTTAAGAGAGTGATGACAATGCTCTGAGATTGTGTAGATTGCAAAACTGAATATAGTAAACACCACTTTAAAACTGTGAATTTTATGGTAAAGTGCATAATGAAGCTCAATAAAGTTATTTGTTTGAAAAACTTGTAGGGATGCCTGGCTGGCTCAGTTGGAAAAGCATAGGATACTTGATCTCAGGATTGAATTTGAGCTCCCTGTTGGGTGTAGCAGTTTCTTAAATTTAAAAAAACCAAAAAACAAAAAACTTGCAAACAGCTCAGATATCCTCACAAAGTGGTACATACACACCATGAAATACTACTCTATAATAAAACATATACAACTTGGATGTGTCCCTGGGGAATTATGTTAGGTACAGAAAGCCAGTCCTAAGTTACAGACCAATTCCATTTTGTAACATTTTTGAAATGACAAACTTTTAGAAATGGTGAATAGGTTAGTGGTTACTGGCGTTATGGAAGAGGGGGCCTTACGGGAAGGAGGTGAGTATGGTTATAAATGATTAACAGGAAGGGTCCTTGTGGTGATGGAAATGTTCAGTAACCTTGTATGTGATGTGAATGTATAAACCCTACATCTGTGATTAAATTATAAAAGAAACTACACACCTAAACATAAACATAGAACTATAAATATAACTGAGTAAATCTATATATGATCAGTAGATTATGTCAATGTCAATATACTGTCCAAGTTGGCTTGAGGTAGAGAAGGCAGTGATTTTCTTGATAACATTTTGTGTGAGAGCACTGGGTGTGATATTGTAACTGTTCTTTGTGTCAGTTTTTGTTTGTTTGTTTGTTTTTTATAGAAAGTGTGCATGTCCAAGCAGGGGAGGAACAGTGGGAGATAGAGAGAGAGACTGATTGAATGAGATACCTTCATCCAAAAAAAATTTTTTTTATATGAGTAACAAGATACCTCAGAAACTGTTTTAGCATCTAGGCCCTGAGGTTATGACCACGAACAATACTCAGACCAGTCCTCTCACAGGAAAGACCATATAGCTCAAGTAGGTAAAGGTGGTCCCTCACTTTCTGTGAAAGAAACTCCAGGGTCACTAGTTGCAGGCCTGAAGCCCAGGAGGGAGACACAGGAGGATAGGGAGACCAAATCACTTTTGTCAGATTCATGGAACTGGCAAAGACACCAAAGCTCCTAATGCTCTTCCTAAGAGGAAGGAGGAGTGTTTCATTTTCACTAAGAGACCAGGGTTAAAACAGGATAGGAGTCCCTGCGTAGCTCTGGCCATGATCTCACGAGTCATGATATCATGGTTGGTGGGTTCGAGTCCCATGTCGGGCTCTGTGCTGACTGCTCAGAACATGGAGCCTGTTTTGGGTTCTTGTGTCTCCCTCTCTCTGTCTCTCTGTCCCTCCCTGCTTACGCTTTGTCTCTCTCTTTCAAAAGTAAATATTTTAAAATATATATATTAAAAAACTAACAGGATAAGCATGGTGCGGTGGGAGCAGAGAGTGGCTCGAGGCAACGTGGGATTGAGGATTCAGGGAGCCGGTGCCGTCCAAAACTAAAGCCTGCAGGAAACTACAACTCCCAGCGTCTCCCGCGGCCCGCCTGAGCCCTGGCCGTCATGTGACTACGGCTCACGTGTCTCTGCAGCCGGCTCGGGTGGGAAGCACCTTAGGTAGGTGGTTGGAGGGGAGACGGTGGAGGCGGCAGAGGGTAGGGGCGTTAAGTCTCGGACCCCCGCTGTCGCAGAGCCCTGCCCACTCCCTGCAGGGCTCCGAAGCCCGGCGCTCTGGGTCCCCCGCCAGCCTTCAAGAGGACCGGCTTTGCCGCGCGGTAGCTCGGACTGTTTCCACCTAGTGCTAGGCCCGGATCCAGTCCTGGAGCGCCTTCCTAGCTTACCTCACAGCAGCCCGCTCGCCTCGCTTCGGGCCTGGGGATCTTCCCCTCCGCGCCGGGTGCGCCCTAACCCACCTCCCAGGACAGCCCATCCTGCGTATTTCTGGGATCCAGCCCCAGACTGGACGGGGAACCCGCTCCGGTTGGGATCTGAGGGGGCCTACAGCAATGGTTACAGCTCTGGCCTGAGCCTGTGGACATCAGCCCTCTGGTTATGCCGACTATCTGCTATGACATTAGTCTAGCTTCTTTCCTTCCCTGAGCCTGTTCCCCTAACTGATCTGGTGCTCCATTATTGAGTTAGCATCAGAGCTGCTGACGTTCTGCTGAGCAGTGCAAAACAGCTCAAACTCTTCTCTCCGCTGACAGCAGAATTTAGATAAAGTCTTCAGAAGGAAGAAATTGGGGCCAGAGAGGAAAGTGAGGAAAATCAGATCCCAGATCTTCGGAAAGAAGGCACTTTAAGGAGCAACACACCCTCCACCATAGCCCATCAAGCAGAAGGGTAAGGTAAGGTGTGGGTAATGGTACGGGGGACTTCAGAGGGAGAGCTGAGAGAGCTTGGACCAGTGCAGAGTCCTCTGAAATGTGAGCAGGGTGAAGGAGGGGATCTCACAGCTCTGGGAGCAGTGACTTTGCAGGGCTCTTTCTTGAGCTATGCTGGGAACCTGGAAGCCCAGAACTCTCTCTGCCTCCACTACTCACAGATTTGATTTTTTTTTTTCCTGTGCTACTGGATGAGTAACAGGTTGCGTAAGAGGAAGCACTGTGGCATCTGATCTTTCTGGACTTGGAGCCAGCAGAGAGATATTTACTCTAGAGCTGTGTCCCTTGGTTGCATGCTTGGTGACAGATGTCTGAGAGCATACAGACTCTCGTTTTTCCCTCTCATGAGTGTACCGTTTCCACCTTTGTTCAGCCATCGCTAGGAGAAGCAATGAGAAGCATCCACCTACTCAGAGGGGATCTCATTAGCCATTCTAAACCCCTCAGTGTGCTGAGAGCATCAGAGGGATGCTTCTCTGATAGGTAGCAGTTAGGTCAGTCACGAGGGAGGAGAGTGAGAGTTAGCCTTGAATTTTCAAGGCCTTCGAAAGCTACACAGAATTTAGACTCTGGGCCAGAGTACAGTACGTTGGACTGTAATACATTGAAATACCCACACTTCTAGGTGAGGGCTGCTCTTGTGATCCTGTTGTGTGGAAACAGGCTGGGAGGCCAGATAGATTTAGATCCAAATCCTGCTCTGCCTCTTGCTAGTATATGACCCTGGTTCAATGGTATGATCTCCCTGAACCTTAAGACCACTGTGATAAGGTTCAGATAAGGACCATTCAGATAAGGAATGAATGAGATAAGATCCGGCCAAGGTACTCCCGCCCAACTGGAGTGTAGCCTCTCTTCAGTGATATGCTAGTATTCCTCTCTCTTATGTTTAGATCTTATTTACCTATGCGTCTCTAAGCCCGAAGCAGGCAGGATTTGCATCAGATATATCTCTGTCTCTGCCACCCTACACTGTGGCATCCAAATGCACTGTTCTGCATAGAGGCACACTTGGATTTGAATCTCAGCTATCTGACCTTGGGAATGTTTCAGCATTCTCTGCCCATCTCAGGATAACAGTAGTACCCGTCTCTCCCCTCTAGGCTGTGAAGAGCCGGAGCTCACAGGTCTCCTAGGATAACAGTCCCAAACAGGCTGGTGCCACCCTCCAGCTGCCCAGGGGATGTGGCTGTGAGGCAGAATCCACAGACCCCGTGGGAAGAGGGCTCCGAGGGCCATGGCCCAGGTCAGCATCAACAATGACCTCGGCGAGTGGGGCTTGAGCACAGACTCCGGGGAGCGGGCCCGTCTGCTGCAGAGTCCCTGCGTGGACACAGCCCCCAAGAGTGAAGGGGAGGCCTCTCCTGAGGGTCTGGGCAGAGGCACTACTTCCACAATTGGGGCCATCTTCATCGTCGTCAATGCCTGCCTAGGTGCAGGGCTGCTCAATTTCCCAGCAGCCTTCAGCACAGCAGGGGGCGTCGCAGCGGGCATCACACTGCAGATGGTGAGTGCACTGTCCAGAAGGGCAGAAATGCAGTCCAGGTGTTGGGTCTGGACTCTTTACCTTAGAAGGGAGGCTTTGCATCAGGGATAGTCAGTCAGTGACACAGGCTACCACTGCCCCCACCCTCACACTTGGCAGACATTATTAATCTATCCCAGCATTCTTCCCTCTGAGCCCACATGAGGCTTCAGAAGGCTTCCCAGCAGCCGGGGAAGTTTGGACAACTGTATATTTAATAATCTTGTAGTTAATGTTTAATGAGTGGGCCCTTATCTTTTAGAACTACATGCTGAAATATTTACTGGTGAAATGACTTGATAGCTTGTATTTCCTTCAACATAATCCAGAGTGGGAGAGGGAGGCAAGATGGACCACGAGTTGGTTATTTTTGAAGCTGAGTGATGGGTGCATGGGGGTTCATGATACCATCTTGTTTACTCTTGCATATGTTTGAAATTTTCCACAAAATCTCTTCTGTTTTTAAAGAAAGTCTCAACTCGGCAGCCTCCAGCAATCTGGTAAAGTTGCCTGCAAGATGAGATTTATTTACCAAACCGGCTTTGGGCATTGGCCTAATAAACGCTGAGCAACGGCAGGCTGCGCTTTGCTGCCAGGCCTGTCGCACACCCTGTGGCTCTGTCCTGCCTGCAGGGCATGCTGGTCTTCATCATCAGTGGCCTAGTCATCCTGGCCTACTGCTCCCAGGCCAGCAATGAGAGGACCTACCAGGAGGTGGTGTGGGCCGTGTGTGGCAAGCTGACGGGAGTGCTGTGTGAGGTCACCATCGCCATCTACACTTTTGGCACCTGCATCGCCTTCCTCATCATCATCGGAGACCAACAAGACAAGAGTGAGGTTCCCCCGCAGTAGCTGCTTCATCCTTCCCTCTCGGCCCTGGGGGTCCTGCATGGAGGGAATGGGCATGAACACTTGCCCAAGGCCTAGCCTGGGTCCAGCATTCTTCTGCAAATCCCCCCTCCTGGCCGCTGAGCCCATTAGACAGATGGAGGCCCTGAGGCTCCACAGAACAGAAGGGCCGCAGCCTTGCAGGAGCCTGGCATGACACTCCCTTCTTCCTCCCTCCCTGTGCAGTTATAGCTGTGATGGCAAAGGAGCCTGAGGGGGCCGGCAGCAGCTCCTGGTACACAGACCGGAAGTTCACTATCAGCCTCACTGCCTTCCTCTTCATCCTGCCCCTTTCCATCCCCAGAGAGATCGGCTTTCAGAAATACGCCAGGTTCGGAGGCCCCACCCCAACCCAAGCCAGACAGAAGCCCTAATCACAGACAGCTAAAGAGCCAGGCGCTGCTGGAGAACCCTCTCCTGGGGCAGCAAAAGTGAGCAAGGCAGGCTGGACCACGGCTCGCAAGGCTCCCAGCCTAAGATTTCCTTTTGTGTCTGCATCAAGGGAGACAGTGGCCCTTTGCATCAGTAAGAGATTCTGTTCCAATGTCCTTGTCAAATAAGAGACAGGTGATAATCAGGAGTCCAAAGGCAGCTTCCAGGCCAGGGCCTTGGCTTTCCCAGGGAGGATGGGATTTTTGATCATTTGGAATTGTCAAGCATGGCTCCATCTTCCATGCAGCGTAGTTTGAAGGGAGAGGACTGGCTTCCCGGCTCAGGGGCTGAAAACCTGTGTAATTCTGAGCCGTTTCCTGTGATCCATAATTGACAGGGTCACACTCAGCTGTTTCCAAGGTCCCCTTTAATGTTGACATCCCAGTACATGAATCTTCAACCCTTTTACCTCCGGTGTCTCCTAGTAATCAAAGGCCCTGCTTGCCGCAGCCACCAAGTGGGGGCTGCACTGATGGAAGAAACACATTTGCTTTAAGCCCAGACCTCTGAGCCGTGGAGCTGAACCAGGGCATTTCCTAATGGTCAGAAATGTTAGTCTGGTCCCCTCTTGGGGTCCAGCTCCCTCCATGCTGTGACTGATTTCTTTAAAACTTTTTTTTTTTTTTTAAGTTTATTTAAGTAATCTATACACGCAACTTGGGGCTCAAACTCATGACCCCAAGATCCAGAGTCCCATGCTTTTCTGACTGAGCCAGCCAGGCGCCCCTCTAAAGCTTATGTCTCATGCACTGTTCGAGGGTTTGTTTGGAATGGTCTCCCAGTGCTGCGGGTGGATAACCCCTGGGGTGGAGTCAGAGAGAGGGCAACCAGGGCTGGGGAAGAGGAAACTCAAACCATTCTTTCTGGCAGCTTCTTGAGCGTCGTGGGCACCTGGTATGTCACTGCCATCATCATCATCAAATATATCTGGCCAGATAAAGAGATGACCCCAGGGGACATCCTGACTAGGTGGGTAAGAGCCCTGAGGAATGCACTGCTTGGGCTCCAGGAGGTGCTGGGTCAGACATCTAAAGGCCATAGAGGTGCTCTGCTTAAAGCCTATTGGCTCACCACACGTGACTTGTTGGTCATTGGAGGAAGGAGGCAAGAGTGAGAACCAATATCCAGCATCTAACCAACGAGCCATTGTGAGACTCGGCCTTGAGTTATGGAGACTGCCAGGGTGGAATTGCACATCTCTGCAACTTTTAAGTCTCCTGTTTTTGAAAGAAAAAGGAAAGCAAAAGCTCCAGTGCAGGAACCAGAAATTCTGGATTTGGGTCCCAGGAGGGTCTTCCAGTGCCTCAGTTTACTGACCTGTGAAATGGAGAGGTGCCCTCTCCCTCTCCCTGTTTCCAGACTTACGGGGGTTGAGTGTGTAGAATAGTGGTTGGAGGAGGCCATGTCGGTCTGAGTGAAGAGTAAGGACACGGGGCGGTTGGTGGCTCTGTGGGATTCACAGGCAGCAGACTCTTCTGTGTTTGTCCACAGGCCAGCCTCCTGGGTCGCCGTGTTCAATGCTATGCCCACCATCTGCTTCGGATTTCAGGTGCCAGTTGCAAGGTTCCTATTGTCCTCTTAGCTCACTCCCCACCCTGGGTGGGAACCCACATTGCAGGGGGGGATGGGGACATCCTGGGAGGAAAGACAGGTCAGACCACTGGGACTTGTCCCTGGGGCCTTGGTCCCCAAACTGCCTCCCTCTGGAAACTGGGAAGGGGTCACTTCCTCACCATAACTGTGACCTTCACCCTAACAGTGCCACGTGAGCAGTGTGCCAGTCTTCAACAGCATGCGGCAGCCCAAAGTGAAGACCTGGGGTGGGGTGGTGACAGCCGCCATGGTCATAGCCCTCGCTGTCTACATGGGCACGGGTGAGTGCTCCCCTCTGACAGCTGGGCTTGGAGTGCTCCCACTTTCTGTCTTTGTCTCCAAGTCCTCTGGCCCAGCTTTCCTGGAGACAGCCCTGCATTCCCAGCATATCAAACACTTGGGTCAGCATTGGCTTGAACCTGGGCTGCCTTGGGCCTTCTCCCACCCAAATGAGAGAGACATATTCATCCGTTCGCTTGGCAGCACTCAGTTGGTGCCTAGTTAGTGCCAGGAACCATTCCCAGCACAGGGGATGCCATGAAGATTGACAGACTTGCTCTCCTGGAATTGACAGTCTAGCCAGAGAGTCTTAGAAGAGTAAGTCAGGAATCAGTTAGGACATCCAGACGGTGAGTGCCACCACGATAGTGAGACAGGGAAGATATGAGTGGGACTAGGAGAGGTGATGACAGCCACCCTGGTTCACAGGAGGCTGCTGTCTGAGGGGGTGGCATGTAGGGAGGCCCCAGTGATGAGGAGCCAGCATCTGAAGGGCTGACAGAAGAGCATTCCAGACAGAGGCGGGAAATGCCAGGCCCCTGATGCAGGGACAGACAGGGCTATGCAGCTGGAGTGGGGTGAGTTGGGGGTGGGGGGGGGGGTCAGGCAGGGAGGCCATACAGGGAATGGGGTAGGTCCAGTTGGGGCTGAGGACTGTGGGGAGCCAGAGAGGAAGCATTTCAAGCAGGGGCACTTCTCGACCAAACATGGCCGTGGGCACCCTGCAGGGAATGGCTCGGATGACAGAGCAGGACAGGAAGACCAGGCCCTGTGATTCCTTCCGCAGGTGCTATTGGGCAGCACTGTTCTACCTCTGAAGACAAAGCCAGGAGCAAGAGGGGCAGATAGGCCGAGTCCCTGGCCTCCTGGGGCTCGTGTTCTGGCTGGGGAGACACAATGAACAAGTGTAAAAGGAGGACAAAAAACAGAGAGGAGAGTTCTGAGGAAAAGAGAGCAGGGTGCTGTGAGTGAGCGCCCAGGGCCAGGGGGTATTGTGGATGGGCAGGGTGGGCACATTCTCTGAGGAGGGGACACTGGAGCTGCGACCTGGATGGTGAGGAGACGGGTGCAAAGAGCTGGATAGACAGAAGGTTAGTGCAGAAGCTCCGAGACAGGAATGTGCTGGGCGAGCTCAGGATGACAAAGGCGGCAGTGGGGAGAGGATGTGAGAAGTCAGGGACAAGGCCTCGGGTCCCAGCCCGACACCCTCTTAGCCTCCAGAGCTGCTCCGGCACCCTCCCCATCTGAGGTGCACCCAGGAGGAGAGGGTCCATCCCCCTAACCCTCCCAGGACTGTCTCTGCCAGCTCTCGTCCCGTCCTCAGGCATCTGTGGCTTCCTGACCTTCGGAGCTGCTGTGGACCCCGATGTGCTCCTGTCCTACCCCTCGGAGGACATGGCTGTGGCCGTTGCCCGTGCCTTCATCATCCTGAGCGTGCTCACCTCCTACCCCATCCTGCACTTCTGTGGGCGGTGAGCCCCCTCTCCACCCCACGGGGGTGCTCCCTCTCACCAGCACGGCTCAGGGCCCGAGAGCCCTTTGAACGCGGTCCTTTGGACTTCTGTGAGTCCTCTAAGGACCTGAGGTCCGATCCTTTCCTGAACACCTAGCCTTGGGGGTACCCAGACCCTTCCTTTTCAGGAGGATAATAGCATCAGTTCCTGCAGGGTGAGCACGTCCCAGGCCAGGACAGGCCCTAAGCACATCACACCCACCATCCCATCCAGTCCCCATGGCAACCACAAGAGTACTGCTGGACCCGTTTCACAGAACAGGAAACAGGCTCAGAGCTTAGGGCCTTACCCCCAGTCTACGCACTCAGTGGTCCGGCTCTGTGAACCTGGAGGAGGGGGCCTCTGAGCCACTCTCTGTGTGGGCAGGGCGGTGATCGAGGGCCTGTGGCTGCGCTACCAGGGGATGCCCGTGGAGGAGGACGTGGGGCGGGAGCGGCGGCGACGCGTGCTGCAGACGCTGGTCTGGTTCCTGCTCACCCTGCTGCTGGCACTCTTCATCCCTGACATCGGCAAGGTCATCTCAGTCATCGGAGGCCTGGCCGCCTGCTTCATCTTTGTATTCCCAGGTGTGGACCCCTGCACCCCTCACCTCCACCCCCCACACATCACCGGCTCCCAGGGTCTCCCTGCCGCAACTCCTCCCTAGTTCACCTGCAGTGAGAGTAACCACCAGCCTTATCAATCACCCACCTCAGGCTCTGCACTAACCCCTGCTCCTCCTGAAAAGAAGGGATAGATGTTATCTCCACTCTGCTGATTCAGAGCTGTGAGGAGGTTAAACAGACTCAACTACTGAGTAACAACTTTTCTGACCCGAGTCTGTCTAGGTGCACAGCCTACGCTCTTAACCTTTCATTCGCTTCTCTGTTGCTGCCTGACTGTTAGGGATCCGGCTGGTTCAGCCTAGTACAGCCCAGAGGGTGCCGGGGTCTGGTGGCAGCACCCAGATGCCGAGGTCAGGAGACCTGAGTTTCAGACACAAGTCTGCCACCGGATCCCCAGGAAGTGCTCCCACCTGCCCCACCTTGAGCTCTGCCTGTACCCAGCTTATTTCTCTCTAGGAGACCAACCTGAAAGCCCTTGCCCCTTTGCGTGGAGCTGGGGGGCCACATCTGCTCATAAGTGCCCTGGGAAGGGCCCTCGAGGTGGTGGGGGCTACTGCTGAATCACCTTCTGTGGCTGCCCCTTTGGCTCTGGGGCTCGCCTGCAGCCCGTGGAGAGCCTGTCAGATGCTGGCCTCTCCCTAGAGAGCAGACCAAGGCCTCCCACTGCACATGGAGTTGGGGCGGAGGTGAAGAGTAAACAGAGGCCTTCCTCTACTCACCACCGCTACCTCTTGGTAAAGGGGGAGAGTGGGCCTAAGTGAAGGAGCCCACCTGAGCTCTCAGGGCCACGTCTTCTCTTCCAGGGCTGTGCCTCATTCAAGCCAAACTCTCAGAGATGGAAGAAGTCAAGCCAGCCAGGTAAAGCAGGCCCCGGCATGCAGTCCCGTCAGGGAGGGGCCAGGTGAGGGATGGGCTGGTGGGCACGAGTGCGCTTAAATCAGGCAAAGGTCAAGAGACCTGTGAACTTAAAAAGCATAAGAGTTTTCTAAATACCTTCTTAAGAAATGAGTGGCACATGCTAGTTGTGACCGTTTAAATGCTCCTAAAGGACTTGAGAGAAAAAAGTGGAAGTCCCTCTTGCCCCTACAGCCCACTCCCCACCTGAGAGCTCTCTGTCATCAGCATGGTCTTCTAGATGTTTCTCTGCATGCATCATGTCCATGTACATAAAGCTATGCATATGCATGCACAAACACATGAAATTTTGTGTCTAAGTTGTTTTTCTTTTCAAAAATGGCTTTATGCCAGACACTTTTCTGCCACTTGCTTTCTTTCACTTAACCATGTGACTTGGAGATCACCCTACATTAGCGCAAGAAGATCCGTCCACGTCTCCCCTTTTCTAAGGGCGGCAGAGCGTTCTCTTGTATGAATGTATGAATACTCATGTACGTCTTGACACACCTGTTTCAAGGACCTTGTTAGCATCAATTCTTTTTTTTTTCTTTTTTTCTTTTTCTTTATATTTATTTCTAGGAGAGAGAGAGACAGCGTGAGCAGGGGAGGGTCAGAGAGAGAGGGAGACACAGACTCTGAAATAGGCTCCAGGCTCTGAGCTGTCAGTACAGAGCCCTACGCAGGGCTCAAACCCATGAACCATGAGATTATGACTTGAGCTGAAGTCAGACACTTAAATAACTGAGCACCCGGGCATCCTGGTGTTAGTCTGGTAGATGAAAAACACAATATTGTTTTCATATCCACATTTCCTTGATTAGTATAGAAGTTGAAAACAGGTTGTAACCTTTTTAAAAAGAGTTATATTTTTATATTCTATATACTTCATTCTATAGTGAAATAATATTCATTATAGAAAACTTTTTTTGTGAATTCATTTTTTTAATTTATTTATTTATTTATTTTTTCTGAGAGAGCATGAGCAGGAGAGGGTCAGAGAGAGGGGGAGATACAGAATCTGAAGCAGCCTACAGGCTCTGAGCTAGCTGTCAGCACAGAGCCTGACGTGGGCCTTGAACCCACGAGATCATGACCTGAGCCAAAGTCGGACACTTAACTGACTGAGCCACCCAGGTGTCCCATTTTAGAAAACTTTAAAAATAAAATATAAGGAAGAAAATTTAAGGCATCCTTAATCTCAATACCCTGTTGGATCCCCTTAATCCCCTGTTGGTATATTTGATGTATATATTTGCAGATGTCTGCACTTCTCTTTGTAAATGGAGTGGATCACACTCCATGTGACCTGGTTTTTCCTGAACATGTTTCCATCAGGAGGCATGCATTCTAATCCTGGTTCTGCCCTTGGCTTTATGACCTGTCAATGATCTCCATTAGGTCTTAGTCTTCTCACCCATAGATTGGGGATCTTATACCTGGCCCCGCATAACTTTGTGTGAAAAGTCATTGTGAAGCAGAAATTGCTCTACCCGCTAGAGAAATGCTTTAAGTAATTACAATAATTAACTGATATGTAGGTATGTATCATATATGTATATATGGTATATATACATACACATGTGTGTATGTACACATGCACACATGCACATAGAAGTCTGCAAAGCCATGGGTAGGTTGACTAACTAGGCCTCTCTCTCCTTCTGCCCTACAGCTGGTGGGCACTGGTCAGTTATGGTGTCCTCTTGGTCACCCTGGGAGCCTTCATCTTCGGCCAGACCACAGCTAATGCCATCTTTGTGGATCTCTTGGCATAACCTCTGCCTCCCAGGCAACACATGGCCTTTGCCACTGGATGCAGGAGCGCATCTCTTAGAGCTGTGGGCTCACCTTGAGTCCAGCATCATTCCCGTCTACTGGTGGGATGACATCTGGACATCCTTTTCCAGGGACAGTTCTGGAGTGAAATCAGACCTCACACCTCTGGACAACGCAGACCGAGCTCCCCTCCTGCTCTCCAGTCCCGGCAGTGCTAGAATGGAGGGAGGAGGTCTTGTATCACAGAAGAACCTTCTCTGTCCTCCAACTCTCAGCTTCTCCATTCCTGAAAAACATGGGTGAAGAGAATCAGAACATCTCAGAAAAGAGACCCCAGCCTGACTTTCATTTGGAGACAGAGTATGGGCAAAGGGCCACTCCACAGAGCACCGTGTCCTGAGTGGGACCTGTGCTCATTACCCCAGGACTCGGTGCCTACTCCAGTTTGTCAGCTGCTTGGCCAGCAGTGGCTTCTCTGGGATCTGGCCACTTCCAAAGGTAGCACAAAAGTCATACAGACGCACAGAGGTAGATAGAGTCATGCCTTGTCCACCCCCAGCCTGGGCCCACAGTGAGCCTGTAGACCTCTTGTCCGTGGCTAATTGACATTTCCCAAGACTTTGGGACCTCACTCTCTTTCCCCAGACCTGAGGGTCCAGGTGTCCCTCTCCTCCTCCATCTCCAGACATCATCAAGTCTAATGTTTACAAACGGTGCCAGCCCGGCTCTGACTCAAAGGACAGGGGCCGTCCCGTGCCACCGCGGTGCTGTGAGTACTCTTCAGTTAGCTTTCCCCTTGGCAGAAAGTCTGTTTTTCTCACTCAGATTCCAGATGGGCCCCTTGTTTCTGTGGCACAGGTGGGTGAGAGAGAAGGCTGGGAACCTTTCAAACCCACGCAGGCTGGGCTGGTCAGAGTCCAAGTGAGTTTCTCTGATAGCTTCTCTTGCAGCGACTCCTTCTCTTCTGCCTGCGCTCTGCTCCCTTCTTCCCTGGCAACCCCAGCAGGATAGCCCACAGAGAAGAACAGCCGAGTTGTCACTGACTCGGCAGCACTTGAGTGTAGTCACGCCAGTCTAGGAGTGTCCCTTCTGGTCCAGATCTTGTCTGCTCCCTCCCCCCAGCATTTCTTCAGTCCCTACCCCATTTTTTCTAGCTCATTCTCTCCTGCTCATGCAACACTGGGGGCAGGTGGTGTACTAGACCCTTTTGTGTCAGCTTCCTCAGCTCCTCAGGCCCACCAGACCTGGCCTCAGTGACCTGACACTGAGGTCATATGTGGGTTGTGCCCCAGGTAGGGTGAGGAGGGACACTCTTCTCCCACTCTGATTTTTTTTTTAATTTTTTTTTTTTAACATTTATGTTTGAGAGGGAGAGAGGCAGACCACAAGCAGAGGAAGGGCAGAGAGAGGGAGACAGAGAATCTGAAACAGGCTCCAGGCTCTGAGGTGTCAGCGCAGAGCCCGATGTGGGGCTCGAACTCACAGCTGTGAGAACATGATCTGAGCTGAAGTTGGCTGCCCAACCAACTGAGCCACCCAGGCACTCCCCTCTTCTCCCACTCTCAATTCCCAGTTTTCCCCCCTTGGCTGTTCACTTTGACCAATCCCAGGCATCAAATCAGGCCTCCTCCACCTGGAACTCCCAGAATTTCCTTGGCCCACACCGTACCAGGGGTGAGAGGGACCCCCGCCCCAGCAGCCCTCCACTCAGGGCAGTGAGATCATAGAAGCAGAGGCTGGCTGCACCCAGATAGGCTTCTGCTGAGTCCCCAGACTGGATGGCCTGCCTTTCCTTACATTCCCCCTCCACCCTGGGGCCAGACCCATTGTGCTGTTGTCTCTCAGCCCGCGGCACAGCACTAGGCCCTTCCAGTGCCCATCCGTGTCCAGTCGAGGGATGGGGGGCGTGAGGGGAGTCCTCACAGAAACAGACCCGTCAGGAAAAGGAGCTGGAATCTGGCCGCTCAGCCGAAGCTCAGGAGCCCCCTGCCCTGCCCTCCAAGCCTGGGTATTTTACTGTTTCTTTTCTACGCGTGCACATTCATACCAGAGAGGGTGGCTAATAAAAAGAGGCTGTGCTGCTGAGCTGTGTGGCCTGTGTCTAGTGCTGGGGACACAGTCCAGGCCACTGACAAGAAGAAGGTAAGCTGGTGGGGAGGGGGTGGAGCAAGGAATTCTGGCTTCATCGACTTCGATCCCTGTCTCAGAGATGAGTCCTGCCGTGATCCCCTGAGCAAGACGGGAACATACAAGTGGTTCTTGATGCCTCCCCTCTCTTCCACTTCCTGTCAGCCTCTGCCTGCCAACCTGGGAATTTACCCTGGGCTCCTGTCCTTGGTTCAAGTCCTCCTTGTGTCTTCGTGGCACCACATGGCCTCAGACTGGCCTCTGTGCTGTATGTCTCATGCAGACCTCACATTCTGGGGTGAGCTTCAACCTCCTGAGCATCCACCCTCATCCTTTCAGAGGTGTGTGTTGAGCAGACCCTCGGTGTCCTGGTCATGGGGCCAGGTACTTACTGCTCAGTGCTAGCAGGAAGATAAACTCAGCAAAACAGACAGCAGCTCCACTCTCAGACCCAGTGGTCTCAGAAGTACATACTTGCAAATTGTGGTATGTGCCAAGAAGAGAACGTACAGAATGTTCTATTTGGGGGCCTGAAGCTTGTCTGTGGAGTCAGGGAAGGCCTCCTGGAGGAAAGGACATTTAAGCTGGCCCCTGAATGATGAGTAGGAATTAACTAAATGAAGAGAGGTGGGGAAACCTTTCCAGGCCATGGAAACTGCACGTGCAAAAGCCCTGGCGTTTGGTACTTGATACTTAGTATTTGAAGAACTGAAAAGTGGCCATTGTCTGTGGGGTATGGCCTGGTGTTGGAAAGCAGCAGAGGTGAGAATGGACCATGCTGGGGTGGTCTTCAGTGGCTCCCCCTTGCCCATAGGGTAAAGTCTAACCAGCTCATCTTCCGTTACACTCCCTCTCCCTCCTGGTGCCAGTGGGGACTCTCTCCAGAGGAAGTACTAGTACTTTTGAGGGGCTGGAGGGATGAGACTGCTTTGGGCCGTGCTTCACAAGGGGACTAAGGGGACGAGACCTTGAGGTTTGGTTTCATTTTCACTGAGGGAACAAAGAGAAGGAAAGGTTACATCTGTGCTAAAGGCCAACAGCCAGATTCATTGTTCATTCATTATATTCAAGACATTGTCCATGTCGCCCACCATAGTTGTAGCCACTTGATCATATCTCCCCCATTACGCTGGAAACTCCATGTGAGCAAGGGCCTATCTCCTGTTTAAAAAAAAAAAAAATTCAACCGAGTAAATTTGAAGATCTAATAGGCTTCATTAAGTAATTCATGAATCAAGCAGTATCCGGTCTAGCAAGTACAGAGATGCTCCAAGGAGTGTGCAAAATGGAAGGTGTTTCCAGGAAGGAGAGTGGGACAAGGTGGCTATTAGCCAATGAAAAGAAAGGATTGCTTCAGGCAAAGTCCCCTTCCTTTCAAGAGAAGGGCGTGTAGGGGGTGGGGGGTGGTTACGTGGATTAGCTCATTTTCCTTTGGGGGATAGAGAGGGCTCAGGTGACACGTTACCTCCTTGGTGCTGATCAGAAAATTCCTGACATCCGTTAAGACATTTCTGGGAGAGGTTGAAACTGCAATTAAGTCTCCTTTTGCTATCGTGGAGGCAAATGACTCCACCTTGGCCCTGTGGGTTTTGTTTTTTTTTTTTAACATTCCTTGTCTTGGGGCACCTGGTCGGTAGAGCGACCGACTTCGGCTCAGGTCATGATCTCACGGTTCGTGGGTTCGGGCCCCGCGTCAGGCTCTGTGCTGACTGCCAGCTCAGAGCCTGGAAGCTGCTTCAGATTCTGTGTCTCCCTCTGTCGCTGACCCTCCCCTGATCACACTGTCTCTCTTTCTCAGAAATAAATAAAGAACATTAATAAAAATTAAAACAAAAACACTCCTTATCCACCTGGTGTCTTAGTCCAGAGCCTGGCCCATTGTAAGCTCCCATCCTGTAGTGGAGCAAATTAATGAATAGCAACGAACATTTGTTGAATTCTTACCTTGTGCCAGCACTTCACCTGCATCATCCTCACTCGATCCTTACGACAGCTCCGGAGAGAGAGAAGGCTAAGAGAGATTATCACATAGTTTGCTCAGGGACACACTGGTGATAAAATTGGAGTCCGACTGTACTCTTATCAACGCAGAGTAAACAAGTGAGCAAAAGGCTCTCCCAGAGCCAGGTTAGTGCTTTCTGACCCCTGAAGGCAAGCTCGGGAGCCTATGATCCCCATGCTGGCACCAACACCGGATCTTGGAACCTTCAGGTCATCTTCCCAGCCAATCCATGTCAAGTACTGAGATGCCTGCTGACTAGTGGCTCTGGGCAAACTGCTTTACCCCTCTGGGGTTCTGTTTTCCTAGCTCAAAAATTGGAGTGATACTCACTGACCTTATCTACCTCCCAGGGGAAAGGGGAGCCAATGTAAAGACAGCACAGGAAAAATGCCAGAAGTGCTTTGTAGCCAAAAATCCACATTCCCAGAATAAATATGAGAACTCATTGTCTCCTCAAAAAACTGGGATTTCTGTACCACTTCTTGGGAGTCAGGGTACTCTTCAAGTTTTAATATAGATACAAAATTTTTTAAATTTTAATTTATTTTTGAGAGAGAGAAAGATCATGAGTAGGAGAGGGAGAGAGAGAATCCCAAGCAGTCTCCATGTTGAGCCCCAACATGGGACTCGAACTCATGACCATGAGATCATGACCTGAGCCAAAATCTAGAGTCAGATGCTTAACAAACTGAGTCACCCAGATGCCCCTAATGTACATACAAAAATGTTATCTCCTTAGGATACAAGTTCTGAATCAGTAGGTCTGGGGAGTCTGAGGTCTGTAGTGTTAATCCCCCCGGCGCTGCCCATGCTCTGGGGTTGGGACCACACTTTGAGTAGCAGGGGACTGGTGGGCAGAGCAAAGCCTTCTGCCTCAGACAGACCTGGGGCAGATCTCGGGAATGCTTCCTGCTATGTGGAAACCCAGGGAATCAGTTCACTTCTCTCAACCCTGCTTTTCCCAACTCTAAAGTGGGAGGATGGTGCCCACCTTGTAGATGTAAATATTACAAACCCAAGGACAAATGGCATAATAACATACGTGACATGCCCGAAAGCTGGCAGGAATTGTCTTGGTCATTTCCCTGTACTGGAAGGAAGGAGGGGAGCGTGTGACTGCAGTTTCTTCTTTTGGTCAATAGAGGTCACCTCTGTGTAATTTCTTCTCATGAAAGAGGAGCCTTCAGGGGTGCCTGGATGGCTCAGCTGAGCTTCTGACTTGGTTTCAGCTCAGGGTTGTGGGATCAAGTCTCACCTCAGACTCCATGGTGAGTGTGGAGCCTGCTTGGAATTCTCTCTTCCTCTCCCCCTCCCTGTGCCCCTCTCCTCCGCTTGCCCTCTCTCTAAAAATTAAAAATTAAGGGGGAAAAAAAAGGAAAGAAAGAAAGAGGAAACTCCAGTCCTCTGAGTTACTAGGGCTCCTGCTGATTTGGCTATGGCCTAGTACCCTTGAGTGATGCCCCTATATTGGGGTCAGGACCCCAGTATAATCACAGAAACCAATTGTGTAGGTACATGTGCTAATGTAGATTGTTTTTTATAAATACGGATTTGGTAATAATTCATTGCTACGATACAATGAAAAAAAATTTCAATAGGTACGAGGAAGGCCAGAGAGAGACATTGTAGCCGGGAAGAAGGCCGACATGCTGTCCTGCGTAGGAACACTGTGCTTCTGGAGAGAGAATAGGCACAAGATTCATTAGGTCATTCTTCCATTAAAAAATGAACTTGATGGATCAGAGGAGGAGTTAAAATGATAGAATAGTCAGGGGACTCTGGGCTAGTCTAGTCCCTCAGACACAGATCAACATCAGACTATTATGAACACCTAGGAAATCTATCTGAGGATTAACTGAACAAATGCCTCACTTGAGGGAGAGAGCACAGCAACTTCCCTTAAGCTCACCAAGACACACCTAGGATCTAGCTTCCTTTGATTTTTTATAAATTTGTAATTCATTCTATTGTTGTTGTTCTTGTTGTTTCTTGCTCCAAAATGGCAAGGTGGATAAATTCACCTTAAAAGAAGGAACAGAGGGTGAGGGACTGCCTGGGTGGTTCAGTCAATTAAGCATCCAAATGACTCTTGATTTCAGCTCCGGCTCAGATCTCATGGTTTGTGAGTTCGACCTCCACATGGGGTTCTGCACTGACAGTGCTGAGCCTGCTTGGGATTCCCTCTCTCTGTCCCTACTCTGCTCTCTCTCTCAAAATAAATTAATAAAATAACTTTTAACAAAAGG